GGAGGCACTTCTTCAACGGCTTCATTTGTTTTTTACTGAAAACAGACGAAATCCATGTGGGCGCCTGGTGCTCATGGAGCGATTCACTCTTGTTCTGTTTGCTTTGGTAATGTTTGCATTACTTATTTGAACTAAACCACCAGTTATCACGTGGGAAACTTCAATAAATCTATGAAAGTGGTGAGTTATTTATTACTGCTGACGGCGTTCTAATTTAATATAAAACTTTTTGTTCCAGCTGCTTCTCTACAACCAGATCTAAACACTGCGCTTTAAAGAAAAAGGCATCATGTGTCTGCTGGGAGTCTTCATGGTAAATTATCGTGCGCTCAGGTGACAACCACGGCTAAAATAGTATCACCTCCAAGCGTCTACAGTTACATCAGACAAGTCCAATACTTCCTCCCACTCCCCAGTTCAGTTGGTCGCCCATAGTCTCCAACAAAAGAACTTGACACTTTGAATTGGAGGATGTGATGGATCGCTTTTGAGGTCAGAAGCCTTTACCGGTATACTGGTTTCACCCCAGCCCAGCCAAGCCTCCAGTGTTGAATGGGTCTGACTGTGTGTGTGTGTGTGTGTGTGTGTGTGTGTGTGTGTGTGTGTGTGTGAAGACTATTATTAGGTGGAGAGTCACTAAGCCATTGTGCAGAAGGTGGCTTCTTCTGGGCTTGATTTTCAAGCAGAACGGTTCTTTGTGCAGCGTATTGTCCACTTCCTTCATTTGTCATGTTCATTTTCAGCAGATTTTATTTATATAAAATCAAAATATGGCATCAATTAAAAAAAGTGTACAGCACCAAAAACTAGAAAGTTCCCAGAGAAACTTTGACGGGGACTGCCATGTTGTGGTCATTTTAAATTTTGATTTGACAGTACTACATGTTGGGCATCACTGTCAGCTACCTCCACACCAAATTTCAGATCAATAACTCTAAAAATGGCTGATTTATAATAGTTTAACCCTTTTAGCTAAGACGGCCATCTTGAGTTTTTACTTTGCATTAGGAATGTGTAGCGACTCGCTCTCAGCTACAAACACATCTAATTACAGCTCAACATCTCAAAGAATGACTGAGTTATGGTCAACCTTGAGCTTTCTGAGGTAGCTGTGGCAGCCATCTTGAACCAAAATGGCACCAAAAGTTAATCAGTGTTTTGTTCAGAGACCTCTTCACTCCAGGTCATGTGACCTCAATGTGTCCGTTAGAGGCTGTGAAGAGTTCTGTCAGTGTTCTTTTTCATACACCAAAATTAGTCATGGAGTTCCTCAGGGCTCAGTGCTTGGGCCAATATTTACTTTATATATGCTTCCATTAGGTAAAGTTATTAAACAGCATGGGATAAATGTTCATTGTTATGCTGATGACACACAATTATATTTGTCCATTAAACCCAATGAATCCAATCAGCTACTTAGACTACAAGCATGTCTTAAAGACATAAAAACCTGGATGACCCTTAATTTTCTCCTGTTGAACAGACAAGACTGAAACGTTACTAGAACCTCCTTCTTCCACCTGCGTAATATCACTAACATTAGAAACATCTGATCTAAAGATGATGCAGAAAAACTGGTCCATGCATTTGTCACGTCTAGACTGGACTATTGCAATGGTTTATTATCTGGGTGTCCAAATACTTCTTTAAAACGTCTTCAGTTGATCCAAAATGCTGCTGCCAGAGTCTTAACTGGAGTTACTGGGAGAGATCATCTCTCTCCAGTTTTAGCTTCTCTCCATTGGCTCCCTGTCAAATCCAGAATAGAATTCAAAATCTGACTTCTAACCTACAAAGCTCTCAACAACCTAGCTCCATCTTATATTACAGATCTTATTGTTCCATATTTTACTAACAGAGCACTTCACTCTCAGGCTGCAGGTTTACTTGTGGTTCCTAGAGTTTCCAGCAGCAGAATGGGAGGAAGATCTTTCAGTTCTCAGGCTCCTCTCTTGTGGAACCAACTTCCAGTTTCTGTTCATGAGGCTGACATATTGTCCAGTTTAAGACTGGGATTAAGACTTTCCTTTTTGATAAATCCTATAGTTAGGGTCGGCTTGGGTTTCCTGAGCTGTCCCTTAGTTCTGCTGCTATAGGCTTAGACTGCTGGAGGACAAACTGACCACAATTTTCACTCTGCTGCTGTCTTTACTTACTCTGCTCAACCTGTTTTGTATTTGTAATTACTTTTTCTATCCTTAACGTGTTTTTGTCTTTCAGGTACATCTGGACCTATACCTAGACCTATACCTGGACCTGGACCTGGACCTGGACCTGGACCTATACCTGGACCTGGACCTATACCTGGACCTGGATCTATATCTGGACCTGGACCTATACCTGGACCTGGACCTATATCTGGACCTGAACCTGGACCTATACCTGGACCTGGACCTATACCTGGACCTGGACCTATATCTGGACCTAGACCTATATCTGGACCTGGACCTACACCTGGACCTGGGCCTATACCTGGACCTGGGCCTATACCTGGACCTGGACCTATACCTGGACCTACCATTCTGTGTTCGTCTGTCTCTCCTTCCTGTCCTCTCAACCAGCCGGTCAAAGCAGATGGCCGCTTGTCCTGAGCCTGGTTCTGCTGGAGGTTTCTTCCTTTTAAAAGGGAGTTTTTCCTTTCCACTGTTGCCACTGTGCTTGCTCAGGATGGGAGACTGCAAC